CCTAGCGAGGCGTGCTGTTGGTACGCGTGTTGAGTGTTGGTCGCGCCAGCCGCCTGCGTACTCCCTCATTTGCGGTCTTCTCGACTTTTGCCTTGACATTGGGTCCCAGTGTGGAAGTAGTCAGAGAGTGCGGTAGATCCGGTGAGTCTACTTTTCCTGTAATCTAGCCGCAGACACCGCGTTACTTCAGCCTGCTGAAGCTCGTGATGGATGTCGTCGAGAGCGACGGTCGAACTGTCAGGTTAAGGTTTAGAAATCTTCGTGTTTGATTCAAATTACATCTTCAGTCGCGATTACCATGAGAATCGAATTTAGCGACTTATTACTCGCCATTTTTCCCGCAAGGTGATTGATAATCGCGAGCTAGAATCAGTTTGCCTGAAATGTATGACGGATAACATCTGATTTCATCTTTCCACCCGTTCACAGCATTTTGGGGCTGTGCGCGCATCTTTTTTACACTGACTAGCGGACTGAGTGTCAGACTGCGATAGTTCTCTCTTAATGTGGTCTTTACTGCACTCCCCCAATCGGCTGAAATCCGAGCCGCCTCCCAACTTTGCTATGGTTTTCTGGTTTCGATGACTTACAGTTCGGGAGCCTGCACCTTCTCCCGCCTCCGGTTTTCTTGACTGTCTTGACACCAGGCCCATGTGTGGGGGAGTGGGGAGTGGGTGGTGTAGATGCAACGCAAGTCCGCTCCCACTATAATTCAACGCAAATCACCGTCCATGCACCACTCTGCAGATGGAGCACACGGTATACATCGTCGAAACCGGCCATCGAACTGTCCCCTGTATTTGTGCCAGCTAAAGACTGAAATGCGCGCTTTTTTAAGCTATCGCTTTCCCAAGACAGCTCCATACATCAACTTTAGTTATTTCAACCACGTAATCTCTCCTTCCAGGATTCCGGTCTTACAGAAGTCGCTGTACGTCCCATCCCTGTGTGGGGCCCGACATATCAAATCGGTACTGTGCAATCACGTCAAGTATATGTTTATTTATTTTACGAACGGCGTTTCGACCATCCCCAGACTTCTCCCGATGTGCGTGACCAACCATCTCAAAAAGGAACCACTGTTGCAATGGTGAACTTTCGCGGATGAAAGGCGGCATCCCCGTTAAAATCATCCCTAAACACCAGCGACTGAACATCAGACAGGGAGGCGAATTTCGGGACTGCTACTTGACTATCGATGTGTTTGTCATCGTAAAGGGGGATTAAACAAAGTGCAAAAAAATATCGTAGTATAAAGCTAATCGGTAATGATATTAAAATTTAGTGGCACTGGCTGCGTAGCTCAAGGTCGAAATCTTACAAGGTGGGGCTCCAATAAGAACATGAATATACCGACCAAATATTTTAATTTCAGCGCATTCTTCGACTGTGCTATGGCTAACGACAGCCAGCGATCACCTGCTCTGTCAATATTGCGGTTTTCAATCCTGTTATGATCCGCGGTTGATACGTGTAACTAACATGAACTGTGGGTTTGCCCAACCGTCGTTCCCAAAGTCAGCACATCAGAGGAAGAGAAGGAAATCGACCACGCGGAGAGCTGTTTTACTAAAAAAGCAAGCAATTTTCACTGAAGGGCTGCGTGTATTTACTGATCCGCCTGGTGAGAAAGTGTCGGAGACCTGGACCAATCAGATTTGACGGAGAGATCGATAGTCACGGTCCAAGTGCACGCTCTCAAGGCACCTCATGCAGGCGCCTTTCTGTCTGATGACTCATCGTCGAAATAGAGGCATTCTCAACAGAGTAGCAGAAGTGCGAAATATTTCTTAGTCTCCTTAACTTTTCATGAAACTGGAATCCTGTACCAGACAGGGATGCGTTGGCAAAAATTGCTCGCAGTTGGCTGACGAATTCACGGGTTGCGGCCTGCAGATTCAGCACTATTGCCCCAACGATGAAATCTGGCATAGGACTCAGAGGACGCGACTGTCATCAGACCCGAATACAGACTCTACCGAGACAGCACCCAAAATTCGTGAAAGATATCCTGAATGTAGAAAATCGTGACTTTTCACTTAAACGACGGATAGA